AATTATCCCAATGCTAAGCAATTTCTTGTCATGCCGCTTATGTATCACATCCCTAACCCTCGGTGACTTCTGGTCCGAGAAAAATGACAAACTTGATTGCTCGGTGTTTATCGCATCAAATGCGGCAACTGTGAGCAGAAGTATATCGGTGAAACAGGAAGAAAAATCGGCCTACGAATCAATGAACATCAAAGACTATGCAGGAGCATAGATACGAAAACATCCGAAATAGCGGAACACATTGCAGGAATAGGGCAAGAAATCGACTGGAAGTCGATCGAAAAATTGGCTGCATGTGGTGAAGCTACAAGTAAATGTAGGATCCGAGAGGCCTTCGAAATAGTGACCGAGAGAGATGTAATGAACAGGAGACTTGAAGAAGGCAGGTTAAGCGAAAACTTTGCAGATTGCCTAAACAAACTCGGAGAAGACCAGGCAACAGCAAGATCAGCATAAAGAAGACGACTAGATCAATGTAATATCCTTAATTTTAGGAAAGTGATCGCAAGGGGATGAGAAAGCAATAAACAAAACAAATAGAACCACAATAGACTATGACGAAGGAAGTGATGGGCATGGTATTATACATAAAAAAAGGAAAGACGCGGTGGAGAATAAAGCTATTTAGCTAACAATAAACGTGTTTGATCATAGACGTGATCCTTAAATCACGACTATTGTTAGACAACCAGCTCTAGTTTCCACTGTTTCTATAGTCTTTCTATCTATAATACCAGGTCTATGACTTGCTATGACCTAGTCTCTTATGTGCCAACTCACGAACGTCGTGATTCAACATTGAATAGCATGGCAACTCATATACTTGGTATTAGGGAAACAGACAGGATAGACTAGACGGCGATTGGAGCTAGTTGGCTGACAGTTTTACCAGAGACGTGGTCCATGTAGCAAAGACATGACCATGGGACTTAGTCTGAGGCTTTAGCCTCTAACCAATCACCCAGGTGCAGGGGATGGATGAATTACGCCTCAAATAACACAGATGCATATACGAGGGAGATAGCAGACGGATTCTACGTGGCTAAAGGGAGACTTTGATAGGACCCAGGGAAGGACTACGTAACAATATGACAGACTCTGGTCAACATTCCCA